TACACAATATATACATATTTACACATGGAATATGGAGTAGAGTACCACCGCGGGACGCAGTAGATGTATTGCATAGTTCAGAGATTTCTGAGAATTGTATGCAATACCAATGGGTCAGCATCAATAGACGCATAGTACTGACATTGACACAAAAACATGCCTGCACAAAATTGCACGCACACTAGTACTACTAGCTACTAAAGCTACTATAGCTCGGCTGCCAATAGGCCACATCACTCCCAAAGGAGCCAGAGTCGAGGGCAGGGCAGAAATGGAGATGACAAGTTAGTTAAGTCAGCCAGCAGGCGGAAACGGCGGCCACGCACACACACATACACCCACGTGCATGCACACATACCTCAACAATCACACTCTTACTCAGGCATGCAACAAAAACAATGCACATGCAGGTGAGGGGAGGAAAGGAAAGAGAACTCATGGCAGCTGTCAATAGATCCATTCTACTTCCTCTGGTGACGTGTAGGAGCTGGCTTCTGGCAAGTGGCACAAACTGGCAAGACAACCTTGAACTTAGCCACGAGCTCAGGGTCACGCATTGCACTTGCACTTCCACAATGGCAGCAGATGTCTGGCAATTTGCGTGGGCAGGCGTAGTATGCGAATTCCACATGGTCAGCGCATCGCAGGTTTTGCTGCACAAACACCTTCCCACGGAGGGGCCCATCCTCTGCTGTGATTGGAGAGCCACACGTATACTCCACAGCCTCCTTCACTCTCTCGAGCGCAGCCATTTCCACTGCAGTCAGCTTCTGCTGAGAGAAGAAGCACATCGAATGCCGAGGGACGGTCAGGGCACGGTCGCTTGGCAGCAGGAGCTACGTCCACCAAGCGAAAATCCAGGAAACGGCATCCAAATTCGACAACAAGGCCGACAGTTTCAGTTACCTCTACATCTTTCCACGTTCCTGCCCCACCATTGCTGCTTGCTGTAGCTGCGACAATCCACTCTAAAGACGTGACGTCCTCAGGCAAGCGAGGCTGCACTTCCTCACAAAACAACTCCTTCAAGGTGGTTTCATGGGAGACGCGAACTATCCTTTGCTGAAGAAGACACTTCGCACCCCGCCAGCACTGGACACAAAGCGGGCTGCTCTGAGCAGCCATCGTCAGCACTGGACACAAAGCGGGCTGCTCTAAGCAGCCATCGTTCTTGGCGACCTTTTCTCCAGCTCCGGAATTTTCGTCTCTGCATTCAGTCAAACTTTTATTTCGGTTCGAGCAAAGCAACACAATGCTTTCAGTGTTTTTGCTTGTTTTTCTTTGTTTTTTTGTACTTGTCGTAAACCAAAAAAATCCATAATTTTTGAAAAAACGGACCCGGTCGGCCGACCGGAAACACGAAATCTTTTTGTTGTGGCCTAATGTCTGCTCTACATGTGCATATGTGTGTGTGCGTGTGTGTGTGTGTGTGTGTGTGTGTGCGCGCGTGTGTGTGTGTGTGCGCGCATGCGTGCTTGTGCGTCTGTGCGTGCTATGTCACCTCAGCTGTGCCGTGTGCCTGGCTTTGCTGCCGAGCTCTACATCAACTTTGACTGTCAGCCATACACACAGGATGTACTGGGCGGACTGACAAAACTCTTGTCTGAGGTGAGCTTACTGGCAATCGCATTTTCTCAGTTTACATCTTCTCCTTTGCCTTACTCTTGTGGCATTAAACCCAGTACAACGAAACTTCAGGGTAGCCTACATGACATACCTTTCACGTGGCAGGACTATGTGCTATCTCTACTGTACAGGCGAAGTACTGCATTTATGATTGTGTCCAAGTGAGAATTTTGGTAGTGTTTCGCCTTCAAGAGCATGACAGTGTACTTATAAGTTATAAGTGAGCAATCACATAATATGCGTTACTACGCTAGTCTATATCAGAGACCTAAGGACTTAGAAAGGACATGCAAGAGTCTGCTGATTTGTTGGTTCACGTTTGTGTCGTCGTTGTGTTGTTGTTGTTGTTGTTGTTGTCGTCGCCGTCGTTGTTGTTGTCGTTGTTGTTCCACAGCATGCTTACCCGGTATCTGGAGTGCAGAGCACACATCGTCTGTGCGTCGACGCACTCCTGGCCATCGTTCAGGCCATTGACTCGTCGAGCACCGGCTCTGGCGGTTCCGCAGCGGCCACCAACATCACACTGCAACAGTCGCGCACCCGCTTTGACAAGACGCTGCAGTCGCTGGCCAGCCCCGTCAAGTTTGGCTTTGGCATGCGTCGCTGCAACAGCGACCCGCGCCTGTATTCCAGCGCCGGTAGCGACCAGGAGCCTGCATCGGCGACTCAGCCAGCTGCTCAAGATGCCGGGGCTCCGCATCTCCCACCCGGTTCGCCGCAGCAGGTGGCATCCTGGATGCAAACGTCTGCCCTTCCGACTGGCGAAGCTGCAGGCAATCCTCCTAGCTATTTCTCGTCCACAGCTATGGCTGCCGCTAGTCAAACTGAGACGCAGCACCGCCCCATGACTAATCTGTTTGGCGTCGACTTCTTCAACTCCATGCCCACCGCCAAGCAGCTGATCGAGGTCAAGCAGAAGAAAAAGGTGGGAATTGTGTGCGTATGTATGTATGTATCTGTCTGCATGTGTGTGTGTGTAATCAATGGTGCTAGTGAAGCTTATATTAGAAATACTAGTACTCTGATTTAACCACCCACACTAGTAGCAAGTATTACCTTCACTGGGGGCAGGGGTAACTGCAGTCTGGACGGATACCCTGATGTCGTAAATCCTTTTTCTGCACCTTGTCCTCACCCACTTACTGGGGTGTGGTGAGCCCATAAGTGGGATCATTTTCAAGTCCACCCAGAGTTTTGGGGGTTTCGGGGGGGGGGGGGGGGGGCGTCGGCCGTTGGGCAGTTCAATAGCCAATTGAGTCAATCATCTTTCCAGGATTCCTTTTGAGTCTCTCTCCCCTCTCCCGGGGAGACCCACGTGACCAGTTTTGGCAGTGAGCAGCAAGTACAAGCGTGTGTGTCTGTCTGTCTGTCTGAATGGATGGATGAATACATGAATGAAAGAATGACAATTACGGTGAATACTGAACGAAGGCTGAATGAATGGTTGCGGAGGAGGTTGAGTGCACACGTGTGTGCTTCTTTACCAATATCGGTAGCGATGCCATGATGCACATGGACACACACAGAGATCTGACCTGTTGTTTTATTCCCCGTGCTATCGTGTAACTGCACACAGCTTCTCCTAGTCGGTACAGACCTGTTCAACAGCAAGCCAAAGAAGGGACTGACATTCCTGCAGGAGCACGGCATCTTCAGTAGCACTGTGACGGCAGAGGAGTGTGCCGACTTCTTGAAGAACAACTGCCGTCTGGACAAGAAGGTGATTGGGGAGTACATTGGCGAGAGGAAGAACACCGAGGTCATGGAGCAGTTTGTCAGGTAAAGAGCGCAATGGTGGAATGTTTGGGGCTGCCAATGTTTTTCTTCTTCTGTTGTGTTGTTGTGTGGAACAGTGCAATCAGACAAGTTCTCTGTAACTCTAAGGGATAGCCCTGCTGGTTTCCTTGGCATCACAGTGCAGTTAGCATGGTCACCACACCCGCAGTGATGTTGATAGAGGACGTACATTCGCACGCACGTACGCACGACCACATGCACGCACACATGCACGCACACACGCACACGTTCAACTGCTCATTGGCCTAGCTGTACTGTACTTTCTCCTGTTCTCCACGTATTGGAATGGTAGAGTCACCTTTACACACGTGCGTGGTGCCGGGATGCTTTGTACGGTCCGTATGCAGTGTAGCTTCAATGTAATACCCCAGGAAACATAAAAAAACATCTTCAAAATTATTATTCTGGTCAGTTGACTGCAGAAATGCACTTTCCTACAAAGTGGTGCTTGCTATCGATGACATACTGTACAGGCAGAAATTTTCGTTGGTCAATAATTTCGTCCCGAACTCCAAAGAAAGGGAGTTCGTCCGGTTGTAAATTCCGTCCTTGTATCATAAGAGTGTATTGAACAGTTGGACGAATCAACACTAGTCTGGTATTTGATTTAGGCCTCATTTACACAACAACGATTGAAAAACGTTTTTCAATCGTTTTCGAAACGTTTTTGCTGTTTACACGAAAACGATAATTGTGTACACTGCAACACTTTTTTCGGCGCGCAATGGTCACGTGCAAAAAGTTGGCCTGGCGCAGGCTGGCGGCGGCATGTTTTGAGTACAAGGCTCGTACTAGTAAAACGTTTTTGCCGTTTACACGAGAACGAAACGGAACGAAAACGATTGAAAAACACTTTGAGGCTGTTTTTCGTTTGAAACTTTTTTGAAACGTTTTTCAGCGTTGTCGTGTAAACGCTCTTATCAAAATCTGTGGAAGCGTATTCTTTTGAAAACGTTTTTGACAAAAACGTTTTTCAATCGTTGTCGTGTAAACGAGGCCTTAGTCCAAAAGCTCCTAGGACGAAAAAGACGAAATTAAATTCCAGACGAATATTTCTGCTTTATATACAGTAGGAGAGTTTGTGTATATTACATTGATCTGATATGCTTTCAAATACTGATTTTGCTGTACATGTACTTCTCTCCACGTTTCATTTACACTCCTTTCGGCTGTTTTTAGAAAGTTTGACTTTGCCAACCAGTCCATGGATGTGGGTCTTCGTCAGTTTTTGGAATCGTTCCGACTTCCCGGAGAGGCACCGGTCATTCTGCGCTTGCTGGAAGCTTTCTCTGCGTATTGGCTGGTAGGTTTCGGAGGCATGTTCGTCTAAACATGAGTGCGAGTGTGTGTGTGTGTGTGTGTGTGTTTGGGTGTATGTGTGTACGCGCTCCCGTGTGTGCGTGTGTATTCGTGTGCGCATGTGCGTGAACATACCATGCCACCCACTGAGATGTGGGAACATGTTGGGGTGCCGCTCTGCAGCTTTTCATGCAAGTGCATTCTTGGTAAAGTGATGCAAGGTTGTTTGCACGCCGAGCTCCTTTATTCAAGTCAAGATTCTACTGCTGTACTTTTCTTGACATGTGTGTGCGTTGTAACAAACATACAGCAACTCTGCCATCACCAGCCTACGCTTTTCTTGTAGACCTCCTATCATCGTGGCTGGCCTCAAGTGATATGCGGATGTGTGCTTGTGGGTGCCTTTGTGCCTCATTGACAATTACGTGTGTGTGTGTCTACTCTTTCTCTCTCTATCTATCTCTCTCTATCTATCTCCTACACACACGTACAACGCTATACAGGAGTGCAATCCCGAAGCACAGGAGCAGGTGGCCGAAGCAGAGTCAGCGTCAGTGTTGGCGTACGCCATTATCATGCTGAACACGGACCAGCATAATCCTAGGAGTGTCAACCCCATGACTTTCCAGGTAGGATTGCCTGGCTTGCCACACCTGCCTAGTCCCGACATGTCAGTAGGCTGCCGATTTGGGAGTCATGTCACGGCCTGCCGGCATTTGACCTTCTCCTGCCGACAACGGCGCCATAAAATTCCAATATTCTGTAGTTCCGAGCACACGCGGGCCCGGAGCAGTCCTGTGGGCATGTACTTGCCGGGGTCACCAATTTAGAGGTCAGGGAAACCGAATTTAATATATGTAGTGTAGTAGTTGCCCATGAAAGCAGGACATGCTGGTGGGGATGGATAGAGAAAGGGCGGGCGGGAGGGAGGCATCTCATTTTTAGATATTCTATTCGTGCTTTGATACAAGTACAGTCAGACCTCGCTTAAAGGGGAAGTTAAGGCAAAAATTAAAATTTCACCAGTTGTAGTCTTCGGGGTGCTGAGTCGAATGGTCTTGGTCTGAGAAAGCTGAGACGCCCCCTTTCTACTTGAATCCCAATCGAACTCGCGCACTTCCACCGAAACTGGGTGACTGCGCCCTACGAGATGGGGATTTGTATGCTAAATGTCACTAAAAGCGCCATTTCGTTCTTATAAAAGCACGGATGACCGCGATTGGCCCATATGTTGTAGTCTTTTGGACGCTGAGTCGACTGGTTTTGGTCCGAAAAGGCTGCGATGCAGCGTTCCGCCTTTATTCCCAATCGAACATGGTTGAACAAGCGGTCACGTGCTCCTGCGTACGCCAGTCACCTGGTCACCGTGCCTGCAGGGTACAACTTACTAGCCTGTTTGACCTTTTTTGGGTGCAGTCCTGTCACTCGAGTTGAACTCGAGTTGAACCTTGGTGTGAAAGTTGTCACCTGCTGGCGTGGTGACCAGGTGATTTGGGCACCCAGGAGCACGTGACCACTTGTTCAACCATGTTCGATTGGGAATAAAGGAGGAACGCTGCATCGCAGCCTTTTCGGACCAAAACCAGTCGACTCAGCGTCCAAAAGACTACAACATATGGGCCAATCGCGGTCATCCGTGCTTTTATAAGAACGAAATGGCGCTTTTAGTGACATTTTGCATACAAATCCCCATCTCGTAGGGCGCAGTCACCCAGTTTCGGTGGAAGTGCGCGAGTTCGATTGGGATTCAAGTAGGAAGGGAGCGTCTCAGCTTCCTCGGACCAAGACCATTCGACTCAGCACCCCGAAGACTACAACTGGTGAAATTTTAATTTTTGCCTTAACTTCCCCTTTAACCGCACACATCCGTTTTCCACTAAATATACGGATAGGCGAGGGAACCGGATACCCGAACACCGGTTATGTTGGATGCATTGCGTATGCTGTAAATCTGTAACCAGCTATTTTCTTCCGGATGGCGAGGGATCCGGATAAAAGAGGACCGGATAAGCGAGGTCTGACTGTACCTGCTTGTCTACTTCTATGCATTGTGTTTGATAGGATTTCAAGCGTAACCAGCGTGGAACCAATGGTGGAAAGAACTACCCAGACGAGATGCTGATGGAAATCTATAAGAATATCAAGTAAGTTGCCTTGTGTCTTTCAAAAACTCATTGCCTTTGTGTGTGCATGCGTGCGTGCGTGTGTGGAGAGGGGTCTCCGTGCGTACGTGGTTCGGTTTTACCGTTGTGACTCATGAGGCTGCTAGACTTTCTGATAATAATTAGTTCGCTGATACGGACTTCAAGTAAAATGGATTGTGGACATGCATGTGACTGGGGTTTTTTTTCTGTGTGTCTTTGTAGGGAGAATGAGATTGTGATGCCAGCGGAGCAGACAGGGGAGGTCAAGGAAAACTATCTCTGGAAGGTACGACCTCTCTCTCTCTCTCTCTCTCTCTCTCTCTCTCTCTCTCTCTCTCTCTCTCTCTCTCTCTCTCTCTCTCTCTCTCTCTCTCTCTGTCTCTCTTTATCTATCTATCTATCTATCTACTCAATCACATTTCCCTTGCTTGCTGTTTCTCCTTGCTGTATTGCCGCCCTGCTTCAGTTGCTCCTCTCTCGTGGTACGTCGTCCGAAGGTCGTTTCCGTCATGTCAGCAATGGCCAGTTGGACCAGGATGTATTTCACCTTGTATGGGGATATGTTGTAGCAGCGCTGTCATGTATATTTGAGAATAGCCAGCGCCAATCCGTCGTCGTCAAGTCTATGATCGGCTTCAAGTAAGTATGCCGTGTCGGTAGTATGTATAGTGTGTGTGTGCGAGAGAGACAGACAGACAGACAGACAGACAGACAGACAGACAGACAGACAGACAGACAGAGAGAGAGAGAGAGAGAGAGAGAGAGAGAGAGAGAGAGAGAGAGAGAGAGAGAGAGAGAGAGAGAGAGAGAGAGAGAGAGAGAGAGAGAGAGAGAGAGAGAGAGAGAGAGAGAGAGAGAGAGAGAGAGGGGGGGAGGGAGGGAGGGAGAGAGAGAGAGAGAGAGAGAGAGAGAGAGAGAGAAGAGAGAGAGAGAGAGAGAGAGAGAGAGAGAGAGAGAGAGGAGAGGGAGAGAGAGAGAGAGAGAGAGAGAGAGAGAGAGGGGGGGGGGGGGGAGGGAGAGAGGCATGTGTGTGTGTATGTGCACAGATACTGTAGTCACAAGTAAGCATTCACGCATCCAGGTGTGCTACTCATGTATCCCTTTTTGAAGTGAATTATCTTTTTTTACCGGTACAAGCAAACTGTGGAGTTTGCATTCAAGACCATGTTGAAACTGCATTCCATTCGCATTTTTGCTGTGTGTTGTTAGGAAATGTGCAAGCGTGGCAGCTCACTTCCAGTTGAGTGACGTCTTTGATAAGCTGATCATTGCGCTCTGCAAGTTCACCCTTCTCCTAAACCCACCCGATGTAAGTTGAACAAGATGAAGCTAAACTAGTGGCTACCATGCACATCATATCTGGCAGGTGTTGCACGATTGTTTGTTTGGGAGGGCGCTGTGGTAGTTGTGTACGTGCAACAGTGGCAAATACATAATGTTATATGCGTGAATTGAATAGATGGGTGATAGAGTTTGGAGTGTGTTCATGTTGTCTCTTCTTTTTTTTGTCGGCCAAATCCAACTGTTCCATGTCCATTATTTTTTTACTGGACTTGCATACTCCGCTATCAGGAATACAAGCCATTGCTCCTATTTGTCTTTTGCTTTCCTCCCTAACTTCTCCTGTCTGTCTGCCTCTGTCCCTGTCTTTCTCTCTCGTGTATCTAGAGCACTGAAAGTTTTGCCAGCATCTTTGGCAGCAACCCAAAGGCACAGCTCACCACGCGGACTCTCTTCTCTCTTGCACGGCGATACGGGGACATTATCTCCGAAGGCTGGAAGTACATTCTGGACTGCGTACTGCAGCTCTTCCGTGCTCGCCTCCTGCCGGAATCGCTCACCAAGGTGGATGACTTTGTCGACCCCAGTGGCTCGGTGTGCCTGCTGCGTGAAGAGCAGACATCACAAAAGTAAGCCGTGTTTCCAGAGCAGGGGGGGGGGGGGGGTAGCTGGTCCCCCTTCGGGGGGGGGGGGGGGGGGGGGGGAGTGCACGACCACATAAGATGTAGGATGGCTAATGCATGTCATTCATGGTCATTGTGTGCATGCTGAACCTAGGTCGACATTTCTAGGGGGGGGGGGGGGTGCCCCATGCTGCGCCTGCAGAGAGTTGTCCTTGTGTATTGTAGCAATGATCACAGTCGACGACAAGAGATGGAAACGTGGAGTGCCTAGGCAGACTGCATGTTCAAGTCACGGAGCATTGAAAACTTGAAAGTGAGCCAGGTTGTTTGTGCAATGGAGGGATGGGCTGAACCATTCCTCCTTCTTCTGAATTTACACCTGCCATTCTGTCGTCTTCTCTCTTTCTGTGCAGATCTGATTCATGGTTTTCTTGGCTGGATTCCGGCGCGGGTCGCAAGGCGTCTGCCGAGGAGGTCGAGTCTCAGAACCGCGCCTCTCAGTGCATCAAGGTGCGTTTTGCCTGCGTGCGTTGGTCTTCAGAACACGTTTCTCAACGCCACTAGGACAAACACCGTTATCTAAACATCGTCCAAGAAATACTATATTTAGGACGACATTACGGCAGTGAAAGCGAGACTTAAGCACGTGGTTCAGAACATCTATCTGAGGTTGTGTGTATCTCGATCTAAAGTATTTAAACAAACGGCGAGGAGACAACAAACGACTTGTACGAAAGGCCTAGTCGACAGTACATGTATATTGGCTTCTGTGCTGCGTGTGGTGGTTATTATCATCTCTGTGTTCTCCTTTATTCGCCGTGCAGGATTGTAAAGTGGAGCTGCTCATCACTGAGAGCAAATTCCTTCGCATCGAGTCGCTCAAGGAGCTTGTGAAGGTATGTGCCCGTTGAGAGAAACACAGGTACTGTTCTGTCTTGGTCTGAACTCCACTTCTCAACTTTATTGTTCTTTGTAGCTATCCCGCTGTACCCGTTGAGAGAAACACAGTTACTATTCTGTACAGACGAATGTCACTGATCGACCACTTCAGCAATAGGGCCATGTTGTGCAACTCAGCGCGAAATGTATGGTTCTGTTAGCGGCCGATTTCAATGTGTGCTCAATGATCAATATTCAACACAGCTTGTTTCTTCTTCGTTGGCTCTGACATCGCCCAACTAAGGTGTTAAACTGAAATCATACGTATATTTTGTTCTGGAAAGTGCTGTCTGTAAGTGCCTACCTCGCTCATCTCAACCCTTTTGTTCAAATATTCGTATTGTTGTTGTGTAGGCACTGAGGTTTGGCTCGCATGGCCCAGCAATGCACCAAAGTCTGGGCACTCAGTTTGACGAGGACTCGGCTATCTTCCACCTGGAGCTGCTAATCAGCATAGCCATCAAGAACAGAGATCGTCTCTCACCCATCTGGCCGGAACTGCGGGATCACCTATCCCAGCTGATCAGTACTGCATCGCAACCCACGTGAGCACACACACACACACACACACACACACGCACAGACCGGTACATGTGCACCAGGGAGTCGTACTCAAACTAGGGAGGTGACACGGCACAGAAATCCGTGTCACAGGGGTTGACTCGCACCCTTGACCCCTCGTTGTTATTTTTGGAATAGTTCAGTCCAGTCCAGTCCGAAAGGTCATACTTGGATCGACTCGCCTTCTGTACTTCACCTCCAAGCGTGCAACGCGAGACCTGCAAAGTATGATTTTTCTGTGGGGAACGATTTTGCCATTGATCAAGTTTTTATTGGAGTGCTCAGGCATACTACGATTGCTGAGACGTCCCGAGCACGCTTGTTCAGGTTCTCTATCTTTGACGAGCCGGTCCTACAGCCCCCTACATTGTATCTAACGACGTAGGAGCTGACAATGTAAGAGGATTTCCCTGGAAATAATGATGATGGTGGTGTGACTGCTGCAGGAAAAATGCTGGCTGTTTATGACAGTATGACTAGATGTACAATGTAGCTCTCTTGTATGGTACTTAACCCCTGCTATAAATGTGTTGTTTAGGAAGACTGGTGTATTGTGCAAGTCATAAAGAAGAAATGGGGCAGATACACGACTTACAATTTTCAAAAACCAGCTTCGTGTTATGTCTAATTTGTGTCAAAATTGTAGTATTTAGACATGACAATATCATTGGCTGTACTTCTCTAATATGGTACATAACCCCTGCTATAAATGTGTTATTTAGGCAGACTGGACCATTGTGCAAGTCATAAAGAAGAAATGGGGCAGATACACGACTTACATTTTTCAAAACCTGGCTTCGTGTTATGTGTAATTTGTGTCAAAATTGTAGTATTTCAACATGACAATATCACTGGCTGTACTTCTCTTATATGTTATATGGTACTTAACCCCTGCTATAAATGTGTTGTTTAGGAAGACTGGTGTATTGTGCAAGTCATAAAGAAGAAATGGGGCAGATACACGACTTACAATTTTCAAAAACCAGCTTCGTGCTATGTGCAATTATTTGGGTCAATTTTAGTATTCGGATTAACCTAGGATACGACTCTGAACAGTTCTGAACAGTTACCGTAACACTACACGCCGTCTCATAACTGCTGCTGTTGCCATCACTGCTATCAATTAGTTCGGACATGGCAGGAGGTAAACAAATTGCTGGTAGTCTTTCAAAGAATACTGGCGAGTGATGGGCTGTAAACGAAATGTGCTGCCTCATTAATTTCAAAAACTAGACACCCATGCGGCACGCTTGGAGGTGAAGTACAGAAGGCGAGTCGATCCGAGTATGACCTTTCGGACTGGACTGGACTGAACTATTCCAAAAATAACAACGAGGGGTCAAGGGTGCGAGTCAACCCCTGTGACACGGATTTCTGTGCCGTGTCACCTCCCTAGTTTGAGTACGACTCCCTGATGTGCACACACTATTTTATGGTGTATTGTAATGTTTTGAAGACGATCAGGACTGATGATAATAGAGATAGGTTGCCTTGTGAGCCGTGACCTGGCCCAGCAAGTGACTTGCTTACTTGGTGTGTGTGGGTGTGTGGGTGTGGGTGGATGTTTGTTTGTTTGTTACAGGCGGTTGGTGGAACGAGCCGTTGTAGGTCTTCTGCGGGTGATCATTCGCCTTCTCAGAAGAGAGAAGATGGTCAATGAGGTAAACATAGTGATGTCATGGTATCCATGCATGGCAATAATTGATGGAATGTGATGTATATTTGTGAACTGCGTGTCCTGCATGTGTCATTATGGTTTTGACATGTAATGATGTCATCGTGCTACCTGCACGACATCGCCATGTTAGACAACAATAGATGGCATGTGACATCATTTTTTTCTATGTGTGTACTCTATGTGTGTGCGTGTGTATGTGTATGTGTGTGGCAGGTTCTACCCAGCTTGCAAATCCTCATCCACATCCAGCCGGAAATCTGGACGGCCCTGAGGCGGCAGATTTCTTTCGGCATCTTCGAGCTGATGCGTACTTGCTCTGCGTCCATTACCAACACCAAGGACTGGGCGACCATACTCTTGCTTCTCGAGTACACAGGAAGTCAGGTAGGAACACATCTGTTGATACGTTGTAGTACATGTACTGGATTAGGATCACATAGTACTCAATCAGCATACAGTTAGCTGTTCGGCCTGTACTACAGTGCTGGCAACTGAAATCCGACCCCCTGAGCGGTGCGCTCGCATCGCAAAGACCCAACACGGGACGGTGAAACTACGAAACAGAGACCGCTAGAATGTGAACCCACCGCTCACGGGGTCGGATTTCAGTTGCCAGCACCGTAGTATACTACCTGTGGGTGTACAAGTATGTGCAGTGTGCGCCTTAGTGCAGCAGCTGTATGCTGGAGGTACTTCTAGTGATAAGGTGCTAGGAATAACTAGTTATCCAGGCCTGCTACTCCCAACTTTCAAAATCTGTTGTTTGCTGTCCCCTATTTTCCATATTGCTTCAGGTACCAATGCAGCAAGCTACATTGCTTTTCCACACTAGTTCCACGGCAAGTGAGGAGAGTGACTCCGGTGTCAGCATGAGTCCAGCCAGATCCGCAGCACCAGTGAATGTGTCTACTGCGGCAGCCACCGCTGGCAGCAGCGGAGACGTGACTGACGATCTCCTGCTCTCTCAGTGGATCCAGGCAGCCGTGCCCGAGACTGCCCGCCGCGTCGTCGACGACTTCGACTCGCTGGCGCGCAGCTGCGAGTCGCTGGCGTGCATGGTGCGCGACCGGCGCATGCTGAACCGCTCCAACATTGCCATGTGCGTGCACGCCGTGCGCACCCTCGGCCAGGCCACCTCATCCGGCGTTGTCGTGGCAACCTCGCCCGGTCTCCGCGGCGACACGGTGCCGCCGACGACCGGCGGTGGCGCCGGTGGTCGCACCCAGTCGCCGGTGCACAGCAGCAGTCCTGGCGGTCCGCAGCTCCGCAGTGCGCCTGTGCCTACGTCGGCGAACGGAGCCACCAGCCCTGCTGTTGCCGGCGGAGTCGGTGGTGCGGGTGCCGGTGCCGGAGGAAGACGACAGCGTACGGTGGAGACAAACCATACCAACCTGTCCAATCAGATCATGGACCTGATGCACACGCTGCACGATCATGCCACCACACTGTTCGTGGATCCGAACGATGCCCTACCGGCCAGGCAGAGTAAGTGATGTGATTCGTGCTTGCACGTGTGTGTGTGTGTGTGGGGGGGGGGGGGGGTGGTGCATACATGCTTGTGTGTGGTGTGTATGTGTGTGTGTGCACATACATGGTACAGTGGTCCCTCTATAAACCGGCACCATTTGTGCTAAGGAAATTCTGCTGGATTAGGGAGGGTGCTGAATTAACAAATCTGATGTTCTGCTGCAGTGTGTATGATGCGGACTTTTTGGTTACTGAAAATGGTGCTGGTTTAAAGAGGGTGCTGGTGTATAAAGTGCCGGATTAAAGAGGGACGACAGTAGTAGTAATGGTGAGATGGTAAAGAGTTCTATGTTGGACTAGAATGGGATGAGTGTGTCAAGCCATCCCTATGCTTCTACTTCAGTACTTGTGTTCGGGGTGGGCTGATACTACTGTTTGAAAGGGAGGGAGGCATCCTACAGTCACATCCGTATGGCTAATGTATGGCGTTGTCATGTTTTACAGATTACTATGTGCTGAGATAAAATTTATGATTAGTCATTTGTCCTTAAAATATACCGGAGTACGAATTTTGTGTTTTGGCTGTTCCTTGCTGATTTGTTGTATTCGTATGTCTGTTCCTTGTTGTTGTTGTTGTTGTTGTTGTTGTTGTTGTTGTTGTTGTTGTTGTTGTGTGTATTGTGCAGATTGTGAGCAGCGTTGGGTATGGCGTCACTGCTGGTGTCCATTGCAACGCGGCATAGCGCAGTTCTGCTGTGATCGGCGTGCACCCGTGCGACAGATGGCCTTCACGTACCTGGAGAAGACCACACACCGGTGCTTCCTGTACGCCGAGGAGTGGCACGCCTGCTTCATGGAGGTGAGAACGCTTTGAACAGTGCCACCAACCAAGACCAGCAGCCTATTGTATGTGTGCGTGTGTGCACATGTGTGCTGTTTGCATCTGTGTGTGTGTTGAGGAGGGGGGTGGAGAGGAGTAGAATATCTGCCTAGTGTGTACCTACTGTCGTGGACATGGAAATCCAGTGGATTGACGTGGGCCGGCGCCCTCAGCGTGTACAGAACGTTGCATGCATGCAGTGCACAATCATGTTGATATCCGATGCGACCAGCAGCGCATAATAATGCATGCATGCGTGCACTGTTTACCCACGGCTGCATGGCCAGCGCCCTGGGGCCGCTAGACATGCGACCGGATTTCCATGTCCACGACAGTACTTTGAAGTATGTGACACCTAGGTGGGGCAAGAGCAGGAATTTGATTAATTATATGAGTGCGCTTTTTGTGTCGCGATCGGTAATTGCCTTCTCTCGCCCTATTATGATACACAGTTGGGATGAACTGCTCTGTATGGCTAAATCCAGCCACCAAACTCTCCTGTCATCATTATAGTATGTGTGGGTGCATGAAATGCTTATGTTCTGTTTGTGTGTATGTACGTGTGGGCTTCGACAGGTTCTGTTCCCACTCATGTCAGTGCTGCTGCGCGACATTGATCCGGGACACATGGAGGAAATGCGAAAGCGAGCTAGTCATCTTGCCATTAAGGTAGGTGATGTAGATGTCTTCTTTCTCTCTCCCTCTTTCTCTCTCTCCCTCTCTTTCTCTCTCTCCCTCTCTTTCTCTCTCTCTCTCTCTCTCTCTCTCTCTCTCTCTCTCTCTCTCTCTCTCTCTCTCTCCACGGTTAATCATATAACCGTGATTAACCGTGTTTTGCCAATCCATGTGGTTGCATAAGCTATCTGTTTCCCCTGCAAATTGGCCTGGTGGATTGTGTTTTATGATCATTTGTTCATCACATCTAACCCTCACTCATTGTGCTGTGAGAAAGGTGTGGTTTAGAGGTGACTGTGTTCGCACGCTGTGCTGTGTTCAGAAAGGCTTTGTGCAGAGGTGACTGTGTTCGCACACCATGCTGTGTTGAAAAAGGCTTTGTGCAGAGGTGACTGTGTTCACACACTGTGCTGTGTTCTAAAACGGCTCTGTGCAGAGATTATCATGTTATGCTGTTGGCAGACCCGCACCGGGCCTTGGGCTAGCCAGTGTCTAACGTTATTCAATATTCCGACTGATGTGTGAAGTGTCACGTGTGGTGTTAGATTTGAGGACGACGCGCTCCCTTGTAGACTCTATTAGCGTCTAACGCTACTCATAATACATGTATGCGAATTATCACACTTACCTCGCCGTGCTGTTGGCCGTGTTGGGTGAATGGTGATGTCTCTATCACGTACTCTATCACGTATATTACCTGTGGCTCAAGCCAGAATAGTTCAGTTCTACCTGGAAGCCAGCAATAGCAGCAGCACAATGTACGTTGTTGACCACCTGGCCGGCATAGACCATCTGAAGATTACTTGAAGTATGTCTCAATGTACATTGCATATTATTGTACATTGGAAGTAGAGCAACACAGAACCAGCCAGAGGCCGGTTGTCATCTCAACAGTGTTCTCATTTGTAGGCTGCGGTGTGGAAGTTTGTAACTAGGGATGCAGTATCGACTATTGAGTCATGATGTGCTCGTTTCACAACCCACTATGTTGTGCAGCTGCTGATCTGAAGTGTGTGTGTGTGTGTGCACGCGTGTGTTTGTATTCATTTGTACAGGTTTTCTTGCAACACCTGGGTCCACTGTCTCAGATGAACGAGTTCCTGCGCCTCTGGATGGACCTGCTGGAGTTTTTCCATCGCTTTGTCGTCGTGGGCAGTACAGACCTGGTAGGTCGGCAACCTGTGCTGCAGAGACATTGTGGACATTTTGTACTCGAGTACTTTGAGCTGGGATTCATGGCTGCGGTGATTTCACCTTTACATTGGTCTTCTGGTCTTGCTTGCAAGCTGCCTCTGTGTATGTGTGCACGGCTGTGGTGTCTGTCAGTCTATCTGCCTCCCGGCTGAGACTGTGAAAAGTATCGCAACAGCTAGTGCGAGCATGTGTATGCTACCGTACGTGTTGACGTGGCATTGCGGCGTAGACTTTGCATGTACAGTACGTTGGAACCCGGATATCTGTTCTCTCCACCTGTGTATTCAGGTTCGCTCTTTCTCCCGTTTGTTACTACGATACTATGTGTTCTCTTTCGGGGAGTTTATCTTGCATAGATCCATAGAGGGTGGTGGTGTTCCTACGCATGCAGAAAACTTGCCCTCCGGCCCAGTCTCATGCAAACCGTGAATCTTATTATTTATTTTATTTTGCGTCTGTCCTATGTTCTTTGTATGTGCGTGTGTTTGTGTTATTGTGTCTTGTAGGAGGAGCACATAGTCGAGTCGTTGAAGAACGCCTTGCTGGTCATGGCCACGGCCGACGTTCTCAACTCGTGTCGCTACGGCAAGCCACCGCAGTCGCCGGCGTGGCTGGAGGTGCGCAAGCGCATCACCCAGTTTGCACCCAACTTGTGGAATGAGGTGTTCCGACCTGCAACACCAGCATCAGCGGCAGCAGGAGTACCGGCAGCACAAGCTGCTCAAGGTCAAGTCACGGCACCGTCACAAATGCCAGCCACCCTGTCTGCGGACGAGGGCCAAGTTGCTGCTGCAGCTGCAGTTACTGGAGAGGTTACACTTGCTCCGGCAGCGCCAGCCGTCTCCACCAGTATGCCTGCTCCCGGCGGAGCAGCAGTTACATCAGCCATCGTGAGCGGCTTGCCTCCGCGTGCCAGCTCCGCTTCACCGGCCCTCAGTGGCTTGCCCCTACCTGCAAGTGCAACAGGAGCAGCAGTAGTAGTAGCTGCGCCGTCGAGCGCTGCAGCAGCGGCGGCAGGATTACAGCCTTGCACTGCGACGGTGTCACCACCACAGCCTGCTGCGGCTGGGGGTCTGGGTGGAAGTGGGTCGTCGCCGGTCAGAGCTGGTTTGCCTGCTCCCAGCGGCAGCACACCACCGCCAGGGGGAGCTGTATCGCCCACCGTCTACTCAGTCTGATGCAAACCTGATGTGTAGATCTACGTGAAGAGCTGCCGTCTACTCTGTGTGATGCAAACCTGATATGCATGTGAAGGGCTGTATCACCTACAATCTAATTGTTACTCAGTCTGATGCGAACCTGATGTGTACATGGAGAGCTGTATGACACACCGCCTACTCAGTCTGACAGAAACCTGATGTGTATGCGAAGAGCTGTATCACCCAGCATGTACTCAGTCTGACAGAAACCTGATATGCATGTGAAGGGCTGTATCATGTACTCAGTGTGATGCAAACCTGCTGATGTGTACGTGAAGAAGTGCCATCGGGACTCTCCCTGTCCTGCAACATTCATCATCTTCATTTTTTATTTACTAGAAATTGCCCTGCACGTGCTTATTTCATTTTCTCTTTTGCGTCGAGAATGTTATTATTGTTGTTTTTTAAATTATTAGCCAATGCTTAGTGTTTCGATATTGAAGCCTGTCCGCCGCCGCCGCCACCGCCTGCCCGGGAACATCACATCCCGGAGAATGGCTCAAGTGCTGCAGGTATCATTGGCTGTCCCCCACCGTGCGTGGCTATCTCCTTGGCTGCCCCCTAACCGTGGCTGGCTACGTTGCTGTCTTCACGGAACGCACCACCGCATCTCGCTGCTTCTGCTGTTTAGCTAGCCTGTAGTATTTTGTGGCGCAGTTCCTGCCCTTTTTTGCCCCCTCTGCCCACAATTCGCTTTTTCATGGCATCCGTTCACTGCCAAGTTACCCTATTATCCATATTGAACAATATTTTCAATTCTGTGCTGCTTACCGTATCACAGCGCTCCCTGTCCTGTCTTGCTTTTTTTCCTGTATTGTGTGAGTCGCTGCTGGTTTTCTAGTGTGGACGATTGAAGCTGTACGTACTATACAGTATGTAGATTGTGTATTCTATTCCCGCTAGTTTTCTTTTTATTCGCAATCCCAGTGTTCAGATGTTGCTCTCTGCCATCTGTAATCTGTCTCCTTGCACGTGTGTTTGCGTCCCTTGCACAGGCACCAGGACTGGCTCTTGTGCAGTCCAGTTTTGATCGGGGAGTAGTAAAATACCTATTACTCACTAGTTTTGATTGTGTAGAACCAAGAGTACATAACCATTGATAACCCCCCAGTTCAGGTTTGTGCCGTTTCGTCGCACTCGCTGACTGTGTAAGATCTGGTTACGTTGGTGGACAGTCAGTCATAACTCGTAACATTTTTGTCTTTCTCCTTTTTCAACGCAATAGTATTTCCAAAACGAAATGTTTTCATTTGGGGGTGGGTGGCGTGGGTTTCAGGAGTTTCGTTTTGAAAATAATGATTATTGAATGTACATGGAGAATTTCCATTTCCTTCTGGGGGCCGAAGATTGAAACCAATATTTGTTGGACTGCATTTTATCTGCAGAAAGGGCGAGTGGGCGGGGGCTGAAAAACACTAAAACATTTCGTTTCGCAAAAACAACCGGTAAACCCCGGACGGCCCCTTGGTGTGCGTGTATGTATACGTGTGTCCCCCACAGTAACTGTGGACTGTGTGTCCCCAGTGAAAGTAAGAATACTAGAATAGTATAACACAGGAAATCCTGGGTGTACAATTATTATAGTCAAGAGTACAGAAACCAGAGAAAGCCACTCCGGGGGGGGGGGGGGGGGTGAACATGCGGCGAATTGGGGGCGCTCAGGTCGATAGTGACTCGGTCGCCTTTTACGGCATCTTACACCGGTTCAAATGGTCATTCACTGCACCACCAAAGCATTCTCTATGTTGCGCATTGCTGCTTGTCATAAAATCGTACGGTGAAAAAGCACGCGAATTTCCCGTCTTCACTTTAGTGGTCCTGTGATAAGGCACTGAACCCACGGTGTGTTATGGATACGATACTCAGCTTTAAGTATTCGATATTCATGACCTAAAAAGACACACACAGAACTTCGCGTGGGAGTGATATACCGTAGAATCCCGCGGATAAGCCCATGGGCTTGTCTGTTTCACAAGGACATTTCGGTGGGCTTATACGAGAACATGGGCTTAGACGCCGACACCAAAATTGTGCTATTGAAAAGCACCAAGGAAGTGAGAAGTGCGTTGCTGAAAACCACTGCGCAAACAAAAACAACAGATGATTGTGAAAAAATAAAAACAGACACACACAAAAAACCTACAGTAAAACCTGGTGTAAGCGACCTCTGGGTTTAGCGACCACCTGCTTTTAACAACCGTTTTTCCACGCACTGACAGTTCTACACAGACACTGGGGGATAGGCCTAGCCCAAATTTGCCGGCAATTCTTCCAGCAAAATATCGAATTTTCCAACGAAAAGAAATTGCTGGCAAATTCCGAGCAAAATATCGAATTTACAGAGGATCTGGGTGTGTTTTGGCAATTTTATTCAAATTTCTTTGGTTTCATTGGGCCAACGTCGTGCTGAAATAGCTCGTGCAGGTTGTCAGTGGTACATAAATTTGAAATCATGCTACCAAATCCGTAATACTGACACCATTATAAGTTTTGCTTTCCTCATCAGAGTCACCATCCACTTTTACCAAAGTAGACGGTTCATTCGAAGCCATTTTTGCCACAAAGCAGGAGCAAAATGGAGCAAAATATCGGAAACGAAAGGCAATGCCTAGAAAAATATGGAAAGTGATCGGGCAAAATTTGCCGGCAAAATATCGAAGCGCCCCGAGAAAATTTGGGCTAGGCCTACTGGGGGACCTGGTTCTAAAGTTCTAAAGACCATCTGCATTCATACATGCAGTTAGCCTCGTCACATGTGAATGTCAGAACAGCCCGGTCCGTCTTGTCCACAGCAGCTATAGTATGGACGTCGTCGGTGGTGGTCTAGTATCTACATGTTAATAACAACCGCTTTTGCTTGCACCGTGGGGTGGTCGCTTAAACCAGGTCTTACTGTACATATATTATGTACCTGGTACGACCGAGACCCATGCCATGGGCTTGTTCAAACTAACCCTGCGGCCTGGGCTTGTTCAAACTAACCCTGCGGCCTGGGCTTATGGGCTTGTTCAAACTAACCCTGCGGCCTGGGCTTATGCGCGAGCATGGGCTTATACGCGGGATTCTACGGTATGCAGCATAGGTATAGGGACAGAGTTGCACACTCCTGGTTCTGGTTTACAGGTTTTATGTACTCTTGCCTGGCTATTAAACCCATGCGATAACAGCACACTTTCAATGTTTCTGTGCAAAAACTAAAACAACTTCAAAATCATCAAAACAGGCACCTGTGGAATCGTGACTTTCCACCGTCATCACAGCTAGGGCATGATCGAACGGGCGAATCCCGAGCAAGTGTGCTCCAAGTGAGCGTGATCGTTAGGCCGGATCCGGAGTAGGTGTAGTTGGAGTGGCATCCGACCACACCGGGAGTGGAAATGGACTTAGGCGTTTTTTGACAACTTTTCACGGAATCTTTGTACGATACGATAATCCAGATTTGCCAATCGATGACACCCCCAGGTATAGAGCTCAGTTAATTTTGTTGAATTCTGGCTGAATTTCCATTTCGTGAATAACAGTCTATAAGAGTGCAATAAGACTATAACGGTCACGCTTTTCACAATGAAACGCTTTCATCTGGGTTTAGGGCCTTTAGGCGTCTAAGAAAATCGCTTTCCCAGGGGCGTTCTGATAGCAGTCTTGGGAATAATGTTTGTACTGGATCATATTATGAAGGCATTTATTAAATACAAGTATATTATGTATCACACAAGCTGACAGCAGACATCCCCGTTCTTTATCGACGTGTAAGGCTGTGGCGTTCTTTGCATTTCAATAGACACCCTTAGCAAACAACGGTAACGCTATTTTTTTACGGTACTCGTACCTTGATCACCCAAATAGCGTTGAAGCTGCAGGGTAAAAACGTTATGGAGGCTGATTTATCGTTGTGACCAACGGTACGTTTTTTGGCCAAATACTGCATAGTCCGTACGTATTTCACCTTGTATCGCGTATATGGTGACATAAATGGTTGCACCGCGCAAAGTAAAAGCTATTCTCGTGGCAACAGCGTACTACTAAAAATAGGGGTGCATCTTGCTAAAGGTAGAGCCCAAATCATGGTATTTTCCCCCTTTACGGTAATACCGTTACAACATAACGTTGACTTAATTTATTGAACGCACAACATCTCGATTCAAACCGATGGTGCTCAGGTCAAGATCGAAAACAATGGCTGAATTTTGATCCGCGTGGGTAGGAGTGCGTTTCACTTTGCAAACACAATCAGCAACACCAGATGGTCCATTCCGCGGCGGCCATGCAATTTTTAACCTTGAGGCTGAACGCACTTGAATTGCACACTGGTCCTGGCAGCCCAACATCCAGACGTAGCGTGAGCTGCTGCAGCCCAGCCAGTCAACACAGCTGCGCAGCAGCTCGCTCAGTCCAGCACAACAAGCACCCAGCAAGAAACCCCCACTACAAGCAGGACGGCAAGAGAGCTCGGTTTTTCTCTTTTATTCTTTTTTTTGGGGGGGGGGACGAGGACCAGAGAGAAGGCGGAGAGCGCAGAGAGGCGATGTACAATGACTGGGGGTGAGGTGAGCTAGTGAGAAACCAAGATAGCGTATGGGTCAGGGTCTGTACACTACCAGTATGGCACAATAAAGTCAGGAAAGGCGGGAAAGAAAAAACCAAAAAGAAAGGGCAAACAATACCGAACGCACACAAACACACTAGGTAGAAACATTCCACCGGGAAAACACACACAGGGAGCTTGTATATAAGCAAAACGGTAAGAAAACCACGCGAGCGCAACCACAAAGTACTAGTATATATATGGCTAGAGATAAATCTAAGGATAAATGGAGAGCTAGGATGGATACAGAGTAAGACACCACGCCACCGCCATGCGGGCGGCAAGTTTTCTAGTTTTTTTCCTTCTTCTGTAAACTAGCCAGCGGGTGGGACGGGGCGTAGTTCTACATCAACGCAACACGCACACACAACACACGGCGGGAAGATGGGGCTGCCGGGCAGGGCAGGAAAAACACGCGGTGCCAGGGGGGCGGGGCAGGCCGAGGAGGATCGAGCCGCTAGAAGATAATGTTCGTAATAATGCCAAGATAATAATAATGATAATAAACTCGGGAGTAAACCCAAAACACACGCACGCACGCACACACACACACACACACAGATAAATAGCACCACACCTAAAATAATGAAGGATTAGAAAGAAGAAGAAAAAACGAGAACCCAACCAGCGCTTAGGAATGGCACACCATCGGCAACAGCAGGTGAGGGAAAGAGCTCAAGACAATGCGCATGCATAGTATAAGTTAAATCAGGAACGATAGAAGTGGGGGTGGGTTAAAAGCAGGCACCCTGGCCAGACAAGAACACTTCACAACATTGCTGGACACACTCGACGACGCAGCAATTTCCAGCCGCAGTCCTCTGTTACAGCTCCAGCAATCGGAAGAACGAGAAAACGAAGAAGAAAAAACTTTAGCAGTGACACTGTCACTCCTAAAGGCACAAGAGTCCAGAGTTGTCCAATGAAGATTATGGCTCTTCAGGCAGTCGGTAGAGAAACAAGAGTTCGGGAGGTCTGAAGAATATAGCTGAGACTTCTCTCTCTTTCCGTGTGTTCGCGGAATGACGTAATTTTTTCGGGCATTTTCACTAGGTGTGCACAGAGGCGTGGCCGGGCATGGGTCCTCTGCCGTCTACAAGGAATGGCCGTTGTTTGTGGAAATATAGGCAGAACAAAGGGCATTGGCACGGCTGGCTAGGTGGCGCGCGCGCATTACAGTTTTTTTCATACACACATGTACACGCGGCGCATACAGTCTTGCACGGTCAGTTCAGTGCCAGTCAACCGCTGCCACTGCCAGGGTTGCCCGCGACGACTAGCAGACAGGGAACGGAGGCAGGCGTACCGCCGGGGAACTTGTTCAAGACACCCGGACTGGTGTGCTCCCTCCACGGCCTACATAACAAAGCAGGATGCACT